TAATTGATGATTGATAATGTACAAATAACACCCTACTTCATAACTTCTTTCCACATTGGCGGTGCCCATCTAGACAACAGCTAGGATTATCTAATGATCTTTGGACCTTTCATAACCTGTATTTTCAAATCCACAGATTCCTTGGTCTGCGTCAGTGGAAGTAGCTTTCGAACAATATCCAGACGCTTGGACAAATTGCTAAATTCAATATCGGAATTTGCCAACAGATTGATGGATATCCTTCTAAGGTCCTTCAACTTTTCCCCGATCAAAGTGTTGTCTAATACGTCCCAGACAAGACGGTTCTCAGGGTTGTACGCGCCTATAGTGAGGACGGCGAGGAATCCGATGTCAGGGGAGACAAACTCTAAATGGATCTCCTCTAGCCGATTCGAATCACGCACGCCGGCGAGAAGGTTTTTGAAGTCAGTAAGCAAATCCATATCAACGTGGAAGAATTCCATGAAGAGCGACTTCATGGCGACCCTTCGTAAAGAAGGTGCCAAAGAAAGATGGATCTTGTCCGAGAGTGATGGAATACTTGCTACTGTCTGATCTAAAGAGCTATTTATTCAGTACATAAAACCTGATTCGCGGTCGCGAAAACTGACCTGGAGTTGGTACTACATAAAGGGAAGTATCCCACTCCAAAAATTCTATATTTGTATATGCGCTCTGAATAATCGAACAGGCGGTGCGTAGTTCAGACCACCATCTAACGCAAAATCGAAAATGTCGTATTCCAGACAGGTCAATTCTAGGAGCATCCACGCCGTTTCCCAGGTGATGAAACCATGACTGAAGCCCTACAATTTTCAGAGACTCCAGTTGCAGGAAATCGCCGTTTCCACTCAGAGTGACATCATGGTTGACGTTGAAGAGCACGTCCTCCATTTGGAGATGTTTCAACGTCGTGCAACCTATAATAATCGAAGGTGGAATGTCGAAAAAGTCTTTAAGGTAGACAGCACGCATGGTCAGTAGTCGAAATATATGAAGAAAAGCTGATTTTAGCTCGTCCGTAAAGAAATTCCATCTTAACGGACTTCCAAGTCGAGATATATGAAAATATTCCAGCCTCGTTAATGACTGGAGCATTTGGGGAAGGTCCACTTTAACATCGACCCACAATTCAATAGCAGTTTCTGAGATATCGCCCTCTATCGCATGAGAAGCCCCATCTTCCATCCACAGTTTGCGAACCAGAGAGCATATACTAGGATCACGTTTGAGCGAGCAGTAGAATTTGTCAAAGCGGTATGCCATCACGCTGCGAAGATCGACATTGGAAAAGATATGTCTCTGGCAGTGTGGATGGAATTCTGAGGAGATTAGGGAGAGAGATTTCAAAGTATCACTATCCGAGGGATATTCGAATTGGCCAGCCACTTCGTCGATGATGTCTTTGATTATATCAGGAGACAAGGAGATAGTTTGAGACGTCGACATTAGACCTCTGTGAAGGCTTTCCTGGACATAAATGCAGAGTTTAGATCATACTCCGTAGAAACGTTGGCAGATATAGCAACTTACGGGCGTTGGTGGTGTTGGTATCTATCGTTTCTAACAGGATTTTGTACTAAGCTGATGATAAAGATCAACCTGCGGTTGGCTGCGTGGCACTGCGAAGCAGTCCGCATTTTTGCACGCCGCAGCCAAATAGCCGCATGTGTAAGATCTGGTTGCTATGTTATATCATATTGACGGAGACATATTGTTCACAAAATGCGATATTCATCGTCGATTAGTGACAATTTTCATGGATAACTTTTTCATCATATTTTTGCTTGACAAGCGCCGCAGACAGGATGGAAGAAAAGCGGAAGAGCTGAGCAAGAGTGTCTTCAACCTCTCGGCACAATCGCACGCACGTTCCCGTTATTCAGAGATATGGTCAACGATTTTACTCGGTGTCATTGGGAGATAATTCAATAGACATATGTAAGGTACGCGTGACATTTCGCGTATCTCGTCGCGTCGGTACCGTCCTTAAACCGACTACCTCCCGCCTCGTCAACAAATTCCATCGCATGACCTCGACGGTATGCAATGATGACTCTTCATGATTTTTCCTGAGTCACTCTGACTCATTCCTTTTCTTGTTTCTTTCATCTTCTCTGAATCTACTCGTTGTAGATTCTACTTTTGGTTTATCTTCTCATCTTGACTCAATTACGGGACCTCTCGTTTACTTACTTATGACTCACTTAGATAATTCGCATTCGTATATAAAGATAGGTACATAGATGTAATTAGGCAGCTTTCTCGAAACTGAGACCTTCGACACGTATTTCACGCGCTCTTAAGTTCTCAACGAGATTCTCTTTCGTGTTTCGCTAACCTCCGGCAAATCTCAACCCTCGGAAACTCGGCGAACTCACAACATACTTATAACTTATACATGGTCTCCTCAGGATGGAATTATGTAAGATTTATGACTGCCTTGGCTTATGCGCCGATTGGTGTTGACAGTTGAGATCAGGAGACACGGTAACGAATTGATAGTCCCTATTGATTATCGCGCAAAGATGTTGAACGTTCGAGCCTCCGAAAAAAAAGACCTGCAGAGCCGAACCTACAATCTCCTGATAACAAATATAAAGATCGTAGTCGGCTATACGTATATATCTAATCTCAAAATTAATATAAATAGCGTCAAAAATCTGCTAGTGAGGGTGGCAGGTGATGATATATTATTATAACCCGCTAATATCCTGGCCGATCAATTGAGGCCCGCATTTTGAATGATGGTGCCTCTTAACCTCGACAAGCATCAACAAATATATCACAAGTGCCCCTACTATGCCTACTTTTTGAACTTTAATGTCGATCTCGGCTTATTCGATGAATCTGAAAAGCTCTTCTGTTTGGACGGTAAGGGTTGAAAAAACAAACCGTCTCGCGCATCGCCCGCCCTTAAGCACCCATTCGGTATTCCTTCTATTTGACCCACTCACTATTTAGACGAACTAGCAACCTATTTATTACTCGGACTTGGTAACTGAGAAATAAGCTGTTTACTTCAAGTAGTTACTCTTTTTTATTGTTTCTACCAGTATATAAGACTCCTAGATAGCTTAGAAACATCTCAGTCAATTCCTATTCTGACTGAGGTATGTTACAATTTACTTACTTCATTTCCCTCTTACTGATTAACTTCGTAGCTTGACTTTATTTTATTCCGTTAGTAGGATGAAGTCATCGCAAATGAGAGGTGAAGCTGCAGGGGCTAAAAGAGTCACATCAAAAACGTTCTCATGCGTCATGAAGACTTATGCGTCTATCAGGAAGCACTGAAGTTGGGATTGTGATTAATATTAATTCCTGGCCACTGCTACTCGGACACGACGTTCCTAAGTCAAATATAGGAACAAAGCGGATGATATCAATCAAGCCCCGGCCAGTAAAGTTGTTCAATACCACAGCTACCTGGCACCGAAGTCTGACATCCACCCACATGTATCCAAGTGCAGCCAGTTAGCCAAGCTTCCTCTCTTGAAATCGACCTTAATATCGTTTATCCTCCATCCAAGAACGATGCCAGACGTTCCACTGGATATTCTAGAGCTTATCGCGGACGAGCTCTCAACCCCTGCTCTTGATCATTGTAATAAGAGCCTCAGAAACTATTCCCTCGTCTCCTATCGATTCGTTGACCCAGCTCGAAGGCATTTATTTAAGAGAATATTCCTTCAAATTGATGGTGATGGAAGCTTTATGTGGCTCTTGGATTGTCTTTCAAGAAACAGCAGCACTGGGAGACACATCCATGAATTTCTTATTTCGTCTTACCACCAACGTTCCCCAGGCACTCATGGGAGCGCAAGTAAATGCCTACTTTATTAAATCTTCTGCCTTCCCTCAAATACATTAACATCACGGGTGTTAGCCCTCCCATTCGGTGGAGAAACGTTGGACGGGCATTCCATCGGGCATTGCAAACTAAGCTGCAATCCGGCTGCATCGAAACATTGGCGCTCCACAACATTCGCGAACTCTCACTTTCTTTTTTTATCGGATGAGAGCATCTCAACGGGCTCATCCTGACAAAAAATTCGGCGACAGATACTATAAGGAGGTTAGATGGTGGTACTCCTACTCAAATTTCGACGCTCAGCATCGATTCTACTACAAACACCCTTGATATGTTGATTAAAATATCTGCACTTCGCCTACAACCTCCTCTTTTATTAAAAGTACAAATTTTGGAAGTGTCATGGGGTGGAGACAAGACACTAGAAGGAGTGCGTGCTTTACTGCGGACGTCATCCCGAGAGTTGAATGCCTTTAGGTGTAATATCACATTATACTGTGGCCCACGCGAGTAGTCTCTCTTTTATTATCTTAAATTGTCTAATTATTCATTCTTCTCTTAAATAGTCTCTCCTCCGCTAAGCTCAGACCTAGTCTTTATTAATTGTGGTCAATTGTGTTATATCATTTTCTCTCTCGATATATGGGGAGTAGGACCTTTCCCAGCTGTCTCACTGGAGTTTGCCAACATATTGGAGACGCTACTTGACCAGAATAATTTGGAGGAAGTATCCATCGACGTTATGATGCCGATGTCTCTGAGAGAGCATATGGATTTTGTTCAAGCCACGGGCTCGTGGGAGGAGCCGATTCTTCTATCCAACAAGCGGAAATTTACCAAACTTCGGCGGGTTAATATCAACATAAATGTTCGAGTAAGGGGATATCGAGCTGGATGTCAAATACCCCATAAAATAGATGAAGAGATTTTGATGGCGAAAGAGATAAGCGATAATACGAAGAGCGGATATGAACGAGTGTTTGCGAATCTACTTACTGGTCTGAGATCTAAGATACTTGTAGTTAACTGTGCTTTCAAGGCTCATACAATCCCTAAATTTACTTATCAGTAGATTAGCCTCTCAAATTATTGTTGTAATTTCACAGTTCGATTCAGCTGTCTGTTATTTTCAACCATAGGTAAAAAGGCTTACTAGAAAAGTATGTAGAAACCACGTGGTTTGTATGGCCGCCTGGCGAAATGGCATCGCGTCTGACTACGATGTTATGATTGTTATCAGGAGATTGCAGGTTCGACCCCTGCGGTGGTCATTTATTTTGGTTCATTGTCCCAAAGTAGGCCGACATGAATCCCATCTGCAAGGTGATGCCTCTGGTAGGTATCGCTAATGTGCTATAGAGTATTATTGCACTCAAACATCATGTCAACATACATGTATTAAGTTCAAAGAGAAGTCCCTATTGCCGTGACTGTGCTCTTCCCGACATGCAGACTCATTTGGAAGCTGTACCGCCATGATTATAGCCGTCAAAGTGTTACTAACCGAAAACTACAGACGAACTTCCCTCCCGAAAGCTGACGTTCATGAGAAATATAAAACAAAGCAGACGCAAGCGTCGGTGCCAATGATCTCATATGGACAATAATGCCACCATTTGGGCGATACCAGTGTAGCGGTGGAGATGGCCCGGAGCTGATTTCACTTCTTGGATGGTAGCGGTAGGAATTGTTAACTTCTAAGATACGAACACGAGCACGATATTTGCACCGAGCTGGCCCTTTGATCATGCTTAATTGAGACTGTTCAAGAGTTGAGAAGGTTAGATGGAAGGATGAACTCTTGCGCACCGAGTCGTTCCGGCTCCCGATCTCATGAAAAAATCAACATTAGTTTGCTGGGAGGTAAGAATGTAATTGCATAAACTGGTCTATCTACAAAACATGGTAGAATAAAGTGAAACGATGGGGCATTGATGCTTGCTCCTCCAGGTTGTAAGATTTGGCGTTGTCGAAACACTCGACAACCAGGGGAGGAAGCGGCCAAAATATTGGATATGTATCAACACTGAATAAGGCGGGGTCGACTTGGAAAGATTTTTGGTATTGTCGATGCTGAAAGAGTTCTCTTGGTTCATAAACTCATCGGGCGGACCTTCTTGACACCGAGGCAAGTGCTTTTTATATCGGAGGAGATGTGTAGGTAAGGCAGGAGATGACAACAACGAGGTTAGATGTGGTGGTAGCATCGATTCTGAAGAGACTGGAATGAAACCGATGACAAGACAAAAGCTGACGTGGGGACGTGTCGTCGAAACGGACGGTGGAAGTTTGAATAGCCAAGGACGGGATAGTTGGGGAAACAAAATGGTGATTTGAGCCACGAGGGCCGAGGTGGATTAAACAATTAAAGTCGTATATAAGCCTGATATAAAGGGAAGTGTGCGAACACCGAGACGGTGGTAGCTGTGACAGGCTGAGGACTATAATGGAACACGATAACAGGATTTGGGTCTCGAATGCGCACTTGATGGGCATTAACCTCAACCCCTCTCGCAGGTGTAGGAGGTGTTGCTGACGACGCAGTACTCCTCACACTTTGACTGCGTCAGAGTTTTCCTCATCCTGATCGTGGTCCACTTCATTGTTCTCGTTCTTCCTGTCTTCATCTACAACGTGATCTCTCGTACGGTTCCCTCCACACCCCATATTCCCATCCTTCCTGTCCGGGCGAACACACACACCAAATACAACATTCTTCAGCCATCATCCGCTCCGCTCGTTCGTAGCCCAAATCCATCTCTCGGCATCCATATGCCTCCAACCACCACTAGTATCGACTCTTCTCCACGAGCACAACATACATCCTCTGATCCATACCACTGCTTCACTCAACCTTAACTCACCACTCCATCTTCAGCTCAGCATACACACAGTGCGGTCGAATTACTTTGCAGCCTTCACACAACAAGGACGGCGAGGATGACTGCGAGGCGTGGCT